AGGGTACAATGTAGCTAATTTACTTTAAACTCAATGTTAACAATGATATAAAGTCGCATTTCGCACGTAACAGAACACAAAGCGTGCACTGCTGAATAGTTTTCCTCTATAATATTTATTTATCAGCTAATAAAAATCGTTTTTACCGGTATCTACCGGTTTTCCATGTCTGAACCAACTGCCGGTCTAAAATAGCCGTTCGTTTTAAAAAACCTGGTCATTGAGCTCACAAATACAACAACCTTTCCTACAGCCCAACAAACATTTAAAGAAAAAAAAAATTTGTGTTGGCAAGTGAAATCGTCACGCCATCGCAAATCTGTCTTTCCGAAAATCATGAATCTATTTGAACAAAACTAGAGAAAAGTAGTTAATTTAAATATGCAATACATTATAATCTATGCATTTCCGTGTCGATTTGATTTCACCAGTATCAAGATTAATCGTTACTACATCCGATACTCCGATATAGCGCCTCAGCTAAGTATTGTGCAAACCAGATGTCTGTGTCCGGTCATTGACACAAGATTGTTTCATTAGTTTTTTGGTTCCGTGCAATTTTATTTTACTATTTTTTTATTTCGCAATGGCTTAAAGGGAAGCGTCTTATTCATATTGCTCATTGAACTATTACTATTTTGTGGTGACTGGAGCTAATAGACATCGTGAATGAGGTCAAAATCTCAAAATTCTATTACATAACGGCCATCTCGCTCTTCCCTGCGTAGGGATTTCTGGTGGCTCGAAGGCTTTTCCAGCTTCACAAGTATATGAGGAATCTCAGCCAGTATGTAGGCATACTGACTGGATACTGAGACTTATTTCGTCCTATCTCACCTCGTTTCATTTAATTTCATCCCAATTGAGTTAAATCTCAAATTAATCAACTTCATCTCAATGTTTTGTTCACATAACAACATAATGTATTAAAAGATTTCAAAGTTACTGGCCGAAAAACTTAATTCTAATTTACAGCAAACAGTATTTTGTACAATTTTCGCGTATGCTAGGAATAATTAAAATTAATTTTACGAGTGAGCCTCGTGATTGCTTTTTGTCATTATATCATTTCCGACCATTCGAATAGGTATTTCACAGTTTTCGTGGTGCAAAAATTTGCTGTCGTCCATTTTAATTATGTCATAGACGACAATAAATTAACGTAATCAAAATAGTTGTTGCGAAAAGAGATCTAGTTATCCGTTTTCATTTTAAGTTTAAAGATGCTGATGCAAAATCATAAATAAAACAAATCACGGTAAGTATGTATATTTTTTCGAGAAGGTTACCGGTTCAGTTGGTCGCTTCAATCCTTTTTGGGTGGCTAATGTTTAATTAACCGGTTGAGTCAACAATGTAACATGCAAATGCTGACTGATAATCATGGCACAAAAATGAAAAGAAAAACTCAAATGTCATGAGTTTTTTTTTTTTAGATGGAAAAATCGTATCTGACTCTGACTGATCTAAGTAAAACGGCCATCCTACTCTTCAAAACAGGCCTGATGGTGAAACTTATTTTTTTGTCTTCGCATGCCCACAGCATGAACCCGTAGTGTAAACTTATTCGCAATTAGTGCGGAAGCTAAACAGCGCCATCTAGTATTACGGGGATGTAACCTTTTCGAGTATACAAATACCTCGTTATTATTAGTAGCGGTTACATACCCGATCCTGTGGACCGAATGGTAAACAGTCAACGTCGCCCTAAACATGTCATTACGGATCCTTCGGATCCATTAGCGGTACTTTTAGGTACCTCAAGCACCGGTCGCCGTCCTCGCCGTAAATTAACCCATAGACACAGCACACTAAGTTTCTCGCCGGATCTTCTCAGAGGGTCGCGTTTCCGATACGGTGGTAGATTCTGCGAAGCACGGCTCTTGCTAGGGTTCGTATTAGCAACGTCGTCAAGTTTGAGCCCCGAGAGCTCACCTACTAGCCCGGCGACACTGACATGGTCTCTCTAGACCATCAGTAGGAAAAATAAAATAAGTAGCGGATTTCGAAAAAGGTTCTCACTACGATCTCTAGTAGTAAATTGTAACCATTGATCATAGATATCAACAATGCCAGGAGCACAACCAAGCCTCTTAACTGAGGACTCTTTTGAAATTATTATTGTAAAATTAAATACTATAAAAACACTTCCAAGTAACTTCCTTAAGCACAGTTCGCAAGCAAAGGATTTTTCCTATTAGCCGATTACAATAACTTTACATTTCAATTTATGCAAATTGTATCTTGAACCAGTTGATAATCGTCATTGTCAACTGTAATATTAATGTGAACTTAATATTGTTTATTTCAAAATGATTATACTGCTTTTTTTTTATTCATCAACTTTTCGAGTGTTTTTTTAAACGTTTTTTGGTTTCGCATATCATTCAATACATCATTTACTAAAGGCATAAATATAATAATGAACCGATACGCCGATTGTCTGTAAGTGTAGGACGTGATATATTGATATACAGTCAAACCTGGATAAGCGAGAGATCAAGGGAGCACAATCTCATTCTCGCTTATAGAGGTTTCTCACTAACCCGAGTTTCTCGCTAATGCTCCCTCTGAATTTCGATTCGCGATTTTCCGCATTCACTATTTTAAGTTTATGACTAATGACAGTACTTTAATTTTCCGTTTTTACATGATGCAGAACAGAACTTTCCTTCGCAATTGATTAACGATAAACTGAGTAAGTCCGACAAACAGGACGGTACACACACACGTGTCCATTCGAAAATAATGCGAGAAAAGAATACGATAAAATAACAACGTTATTTAGTTCCACGAAATAGAATAGGTTCAATATTCACGAGAAAACAATACAAAAACAAAAGATAAGAAGTTCCACGAAAGTTAAAAATGAGTCATAAAATAGCAGATGTTAAATTTGTAATTTTTTTTGTCATTTGTTCATTACGGAGGTCCATGAGGAAAAAACGACTCTCTCTTACAGAGGTTTCTGTTTCTCGCTAATAGAGGTTTTGGGAGCTTAAAATGACGGGTCCTTCCTATTACTCTCACTTATAGAGTTTTCTTACTTATCCAGTTCTCACTTACCCAGGTTTGACTATATATATATATCCCCTAAATAGTAAGAAATGCAGAACTTCTGTATTTAATTGGTTGCTTAATTTCAACTATGAGGACACTGAAAATTTGTTAAATAACTTTTAATGTTTTTGACTTCACCCACACACACCCTCTTACACTCACTCATGCGCAGACTCATTACACACAGAGGGTCCATTAATACATTCATTTCAATATTATTATTTTTTTAATTTTTATATTTTTAAGCTTACATTTTGTCACTTTTATGTAAACCATGAATTTCAGTGTATTTCTTGTCTATTAACTTTCTGTTTCTGTGAAGTAAAGCTGTTGTATTCTTTGTACGAGGAGCACTGCTGCTTGAGATACAGGTTTTATCACCTAGTTCAAGCACAGATGCACATTATGCTTGTGTTTCTACTTCTATGTTAATAATAAATAAATAATAATAATAATAATTGTTATTGTCTGAACTGACAGTTTGATATATGTGTTCATCCTATACACAGCCGTTTAAAAAAAAAGAAGAACGTTGCCAGCGATGAAACTGCATTCCGTATCTATGGTACATTTGTAAGACTTTTTGGCGGGACGGCGAGGAGTGAAGTTGTGTGATTTGTTTTATTTTGTCTATTAAGTAGTTCTTCAGGTTTAAAGGTGTAATAACGGTGGTTTATTAACTGTTTAATATCTGTGAAAGTGCACAAATGTGGAAAATGCAACAATGGCACTGAACGTAACTTCTCGGGATCTTCTAAAAAGTCCACTGAAAATTTTTCAGTAAATGACCACCATTTTACTGAGATTGTATTTGATCCGATATCATCTCATTTCATTTAATTTCATCCCAGCTGATTAATGTCTCAAATTACTCATCTTCATTTCGTTTTTCATAAAAATAAGAATATAAATTAAAATAAGACATGACTTAAAGGTCTTAGTTAACAGGTCATAAAATCCCTTAAAAAAAAAGTACATTTGTAAGGATTTTGAAGTTCCCGTAAAGGCCTTTATGAATGAAAACAATTTAATTTTATTCGATATTTCGATTTAATTAAACTCGAACAATTGAGTTTGTAATTAAAATTATTCATTAATTCTAATTTACTTGGTAACAGTTTCTCAGTTTTACAAGAATATGTTCGAAGCTTAAGCTGTAAGAATACATTTTCTGCATCAGTATACATATACGATTAAAAAAATTATTTTTTCAAGCTGCTAGTGTCGCTTTCTATAGAGAGCAACAGACCGAGTTTCTAGCCGGATCTCCTCAGTGGTTCGCGATTCCGATCTGGTGGTAGATTCTCTCTTACTAGGGCTAGTGTTAGAAAAATCACTCAGCTGTAGCCCGTGAGCTCAGCTGTAACCCGTCCGAGCGTAGCTAGAATAGCCCCTTAGACTACCAACGAATAGGTAAAAAAAAAAATCTATAGAGAGCCATTTTGAATTGTGACTTGCATGAGGACGATTTAATGAAATTGTCATAATATACTAGTAAGGTAACAATTACTTTAAAAAAAAATGCTTCCTTCCCTTTTAAACTTCTTTTTCTAATTGCCTTTCGTAGAAGAGCATTTGGTCCAGATAATAGTGAGTGGTCACCGTGGCTCGTGGACCTCAGCTATGTCAAGAATGCAATCGTGCCGCTGCCTACCGTCGCCTAACAAAATCGTCGTATCACCATCAGCCGTCATGCAAGTTAATTGAGGGCTCGACCTCATGCCTCAAGGTGAGTTCGGTACCTTGTAATTTTGATAAGCTCCGGTTATCTACGTATGTAAACAATAAAACAAATGTGAGGGTACTTAACGCACGAACTCTGAGCTTTCCTCAGAACCATTGACTCTTAACACTAGCTCTTTTTGTTTGAGTTTTTATTCATCTCAGGAAATCGCTCTTCGTTATCAACAGTGGTATAAACACGTCACGGCACGTTTACGTTACGTTCGCGTATACGTTTTATTCAACATAAGGCTTGATGACTATTTCTTCGCTTTTTCGTTTCCTCCTATTGTAGAACCACTCCAGAATCAACACTGTCAATGCGGAGAAAAGTCCTACGAACAAACGAAAGAATTTATTGTGAAAAACCACTTCAACTTACCCTTTTTTATTGTGCAAACGAGTATACGTCCCATTTGATGTTAATTGGTTGCCGGAGTCAATGGACATCACAACGTGAATGCCGCCACCCTCCTTGATACTTGAGGTATAAATTGTATAGCTATTACATGAGTTTTAATTTTTGGCGATTTGATAGTCAACACAGATTTTAAGTTCAAGTTCAAATGGTTATTCCAGCTTCACCTGACATGAGATTACATGATGTCGCTCCTTCGTTGTGGGAATCGTTCGTGACAACGAGTTACAATAAGTATCTGCTTGCTCGATACAAGTACCCGGACGTAATGTTAGAAAATTTGATAACAACATGAAATTCAGACAAGAAATCACTAAGCCTTTTAAGCCCAATCGATCTTCGCAGGCGCTTTAGACGTCGAAAACCGATTCAAAATACAGTCTCGCCTTTTAAGAAGAACCAATAATGCAATGAAGGCTTGCTCTTTTCTAAATTCCTTTATTTATATTTCGTTTTCGATGCAATCAAGCTTAAGAGCCGTTCTCAATACAAATAATTGAATTACTATTCGTTAGTGGGCAAATAATTTTGAAAACTGAACAGATTTGCGGTTTTTTTTTAATGATTTAGTAATATTTTACGGCGCGGATAATTGTCTTTTGGCCAGGCTTCATTTATTATTATTACCACTTTTTTAATTAACCTCTCGCTTCTTTTCCAAACAGTAATTTTCAACTATATTCTATAAGTATACTACAGTGAAAAGGAAATTTTGTAAAGTTTACCCGAATCCCTTATTGATGGCAATAATTATAAATTCACTTAATGACCAGAAACACATATTACATAATATATTAAAATTTGCAAAGATATTCTGTCGGGTCAGCTAAGAATCGTGCTATTATAATAATAATAATAAAAACGCCCAAACTTCACAAGTCAAGAAAAATACCTTCAAGTTTCCTCTAAAGTTGATTAAATCAGGTTTACAATGTAAACAAATTAATATTCAATAATAATTGTGGTCACGAAAATCTTGTTTTGAAATTCATAAACAATACATACTATTATCAAACGTGATGTGTGATTATTCATTTTTTATGGCACTGGTGGTAGGGCCTCTTTGCGTTTTGGTTTGAAGGGTGAGACAGCCATTGTAACTATACTGAGACCTTAGAACTTACATCTCAAGGTGTGTGGCGCATTTACGTTGTAGATGTCTATGGGTTCCAGTAACCACTTAACACCAGGTGGGCTGTGAGCTCGTCCACACATCTAGGCAATAAAAAATTTAAAAAACTTGGTTAAATTTCGTACACGTGAATTGGACATTTCAAATATTCCATTACTGAAGCTACCTACTGGAAATGACGTCAATAGCTTAATAGCTTCTATTAAAAACATTTCGATAAGTCTAGACGAAATATATACATAAACTTAGTCCGTGTCTTTCGTTAAACGTCTGAAGAAAATAACAGATATATACTAAAGTTCAACATTAGCCAAAAGGCCGACTAACAATCGCTGAATATTGAAATAAAATCAAGAAAAGTCTTTCCCACACCATAGATTTAGTAATAAGTCTCATAGGCTGAGCCCCGTGAGCTCTTCTATAAGTACGGTGAAGCTAGTATTATCCCTTGAGGTTACTAGTGGTTTGAAGTCGTCGTGGCCTAACGGATAAGACGTCCGGTGCATTCGTGTTGAAGCGATGCACCGGTGTTCGAATCCCGCAGGCGGGTACCAATTTTTCTAATGAAATACGTACTCGACAAAATGTTCACGATTGATTTCCACGGTGAAGGAATAACATCGTGTAATAAAAATCAAACCCGCAAAATTATAATTTGCGTAATTACTGGTGGTAGGACCTCTTGTGAGTCCGCACGGGTAGGTACCACCATCCTGCCTATTTCTGCCGTGAAGCAGTAATGCGTTTCGGTTTGAAGGGTGGGGCAGCCGTTGTAACTATAATTGAGACCTTAGAACTTATACCTCAAGGTGGGTGGCGCATTTACGTTGTAGATGTCTATGGGCTCCAGTAACCACTTAACACCAGGTGGGCTGTGAGCTCGTCCACTCATCTAAGCAATAAAAAAAAAAAAAAAAAAANTATTTCTGCCGTGAAGCAGTAATGCGTTTCGGTTTGAAGGGTGGGGCAGCCGTTGTAACTATAATTGAGACCTTAGAACTTATACCTCAAGGTGGGTGGCGCATTTACGTTGTAGATGTCTATGGGCTCCAGTAACCACTTAACACCAGGTGGGCTGTGAGCTCGTCCACTCATCTAAGCAATAAAAAAAAAAAAAAAAAAAAAAAAATAATAGTAGGCAGCAAAGAGATTCATAATACATTTTCTTCTCTTTATTTTATATGGCATTTGGCCAAATATATTATTAATTTGTTTGCAAAAAATATTTTAAGTGAATTAAATGAGTTGAGTTATATATATATATCATTACCTAAAAACAGTACGAAGAAGGATCCTTGCATATCACTCAAGTTGACAGTGTGATTACTCACTTCTTGAGTCACTGTCGAAATTTTTAAACAACGATTCGGCTTAGGCAAATACGCACTCAGCCATTTTGATATCAGGCCGGCTTTGTGCATTCGATTGATCCTGTAAATTAAGTTAATATTAATTGAAAGTACACCTCTATGTATTGGATCAACTATTTTTGGGACGTAACGCCAGTGACAGATGTCATCGAAAATTAAAAATGCTAGCGATAGGTTTTTGGCGGGAACGCGAGGAATGAAGTTGTGTGATTTGTTTTATTTTATCTATTTAGTGTTTCTTCAGGTTTAAATGCGTAATAATGGTGATTTATTAACTGTTTAGTAAAAGTGCACAAATGTCGGAAAATAAAACAAAGCCGCGAGACGTAACTTCTCAGTATCCACCAAAAAGCCCACTGAAAATGTCTCAGTAAATGACCACCATTTTACTGAGATTATATTTCATCCCATATCATATCATCTCATCGCATCTCATTTCATTTCATTTCATGCCATGTTTCATATTAATCAACTTCATTTCATTTCACATTATTTTATCATTGTTTATATAAAATATAAATTTAAAATATTAAAGCTGTATGGTATGATACCTTTACCTTTCCAGCTGGAAAAATAAAACTACTACATACTACTAAATGCTACCTGTAAACGTAATGTTATTGAAAGAATCTCCTGGTGGTAAATTTCTTGTTAGTCCGCACGGATAGGTACCACCAACCTGCCTATTTCTGCTGTGAAGTAGTAATGCTTTTCAGTTTGAAGGGTGGGGCAGCCGTTGTAACTATACTGAGGCCTTAGAACTCATATCTCAAGATGGGTGGCGCACTTACGTTGTAGATGTCTATGGGCTCCAGTAACCACTTAACACCAGGTGGGCAGTGAGCTCGTCCATCCCTCTAAGAAAAAAAAGTTAACATACAAATATACGTACTCTTTATTGATGACAGGCAAATAAGGGCTGCCGGCCGGTACTATCATAGCCACTTGTTCCTCCATGAAATCTTCAACGGCTGTAACAATTAAATGCTTTAAAACTTTCCAATCACACGCATTCCTCCCGATCCATTAACGGTGCTTTTAGGTACCAAAAGCACCGGTCACCGTCCTCGCCGAACCCGTGCTTGCGACGAAGGGCTCCACGAGCGAATTGACCCATAGACGCAACCCACTGAGTTTCTCACCGGATATTCTCAGTGGTTCGCGTTTCCTATCCGGTGGTAGATTCTGCGAAGCACTGCTCTTGCTAGGGTCAGTGTTAGCAACACGCCGGTTTGAACCCCGTGAGCTCACCTACATGTTAGGGTGAAGCTGAAATAGCCTCTCAAGGCTCTCAGCATAGGTAGGGGAAAAAAAAATTAGGTCAATGGTGCCCTACGCCCTAAAGTAATCAAGTTGATTTTTGTTACTAAAATTTGGCCTTGTTTTGTTTGTTAATGTATGTGTCAGTCTTTTAGGCCTCTTAGAAATAGATTCATCCTCAGTATCATCGGGTTCGTTTAGCTCAGAGTCTACTAGATCGTCTTTGTAAGAAGAAATAGACATAATTACTTGAGTGCGCCGCGTAGGACACCGGTGATCTTCATGGCAGTCAACGTGCTAAAAAATGTCTGTGTGGTAGAAGTGAAACTTCTAAATAAGATATAGATATAGATATACTGACTATCCCACTACACAGGAGCATACATATGGACAATGTTTAGTAGACGATAGTGGGGATGCTACGAAGAGTCGCACAAAGAGGAGACCGAGAACGTCTAATATGTTCTATCTCATTCTCTCACCGGCTGAATCCTACAAATTTATGTGTTTGTGTCTCTTTGAATTTTTTTTTTGTTTCATCGAGTTTCAAATCACAACGATTCTAAAGAAGTTTCACTTCAAAAAACTTATGTATAAATTATGTGAGTGCATAAAGTCAGACAGTACCCAGTGCGAAGTCGCAGGTTTCTGTCGCTATGTGATCGGCGCTCATCAAATACGTGAGTCGGAGCCTCCAGTCGAAGATCAGATGTCGCTGACCGCGCACACGATCCAGGGTTCCCCTTGCTACAAAATAATCAATTCGAAACAGATACATACAATTTTTAGTACAGTTTAGCAAAGACGTAATTAAAAAAAGATGTGTGGTGTCGTGGGACACCGGATAAGAACGAAGTTCCTTAGTATAAAAATATTAATTTTAAGTTCTATTCGAGGTATAAAGAAAATAAAACTGGAGGTTTCGCAACAACCCACGGTCATTCAGTAACGTGCGAACTGATTGTGGTACACTTCATTCACGGTTGTTTGCATAAGAGTTAATGTATTGCGCAAACGAACGCTCTGAGATCGTGGTCAATGAATGATAAAAAAATATGTTATTTTATGTACATTATTACAAAATTAAGTCGTACACTGTGTGCATTACTAATAAAAATCTTACGTTACGGACGTTTTTTCCCGGTTAGGGTGCCCCTACGCATCGTCCCTTATGGAATTTCATTCAAAAAAAAACTAAATCGACCGCTGTTTAGTTGTAAATCAAACGAAGGTGGAAGATAGAGAGATGTAGCTGTCACTAGCTTATGGTAGTGACGATGAGAAGGTCTTCGGGGAACGCGAGGAGTGAGGAGTTGCTGAGGTCAGTGTTAGCAAATTCCCCAGGCTGAGCCCGGAAGTTCGCCTATACGTTAGGTGAACCAGATATAACTCCTCGACCTTACTGGTGGTGGGTCCCCCTTTACTGGTGGCAGAACGTCTTGTGAGTCCGCACGGGTAGGTACCACCACCCGCCTATTTTCTGGCGTGAAGCAGTAATACGTTTCGGTTTGAAGGGTGGGGAGGCCGTTGTAACTATACTGAAACCTTAGAACTTATCTCAAGGTGGGTGGCGCATTTACGTTGTTTATGGGCTCCAGTAACCACTTAACACCAGGTGGGCTGTGAGCTCGTTCACCCATCTAAGCTAATAAAAAAAAAAGATTACTAGGATAGGTAGGAAAAAACAACTAGTGTCTTTAACATGTGTGCGCTCACGCCGTACTGACGTGTCTCTCTTTCTCTCTCTCTCTGTCCACAGTTTTGTAAAATACTTATTTAGTTGAAACACTGCTTCGTGGTTAATCCTATTAAAAATTCTTGAGTACGACGGATCTAATATACGTGATCTTACGAAGCTACGATACATACCGGCATGTATAGTTCCTTCGATTCCCCCAGTTTCCTTAAGCAACTCAGCCTCTTTTATCAGTCGCTTGTATTTTGGTTCTTCTGAATTCTAATAAGGGAAGATAATTCAAAATAAACATATAAAAAAAGAATTCCAAATTAAATACTAAAATTATTATTATTATGATTCTGTTGATAAGGATATTAAGAAAAAGCTATACGCAGTATACTGTCATCGATCAAATTCTCAGTACGATTGTCTTGAAATTAAAATTAATTATTACGATGAAAAATTCCGTTACATAATTTAAATGATTCTAATATAAATAAAATCATGTAAAATAATTATAACAGCTGTCTACATGTAATAGACATGATGGTGGGGTACTTACAGCCATATTGCCTATTCTAAGCAATTAATAATAATCTTTAACAATTTAATAGGATTATCCCTTATAACCTTAAAGGTGATATAGGTTATACTATGATATACTTTAAGGCCAACTAAAAAAATTATGAACATTGAAAATAGCATAACTAATATTGAACATAATTCATTAGGCAGGTATAACACATGTACAATAGGCTTATCGCTAAAAGTAATCTCTTCCAGGTAACTTAATAGACAGTTAATTTCACCCAAACCATTAATTACCTTCAGCTCCATTTCTAAATAAGATCCTTTGGTTACGGACCAAGTGTAAGCATCGCTGTTCTTCAATAGCTCCGATATTGTCGTAACGGGCGCTTCTAATTTTGGAAACGTTAGAAACGCAACAAGATTACCAGAATATGTGGTAACTATAACTAATACGACTAGCCACCAAGTTCCGATCACTAAACGACCGCTGTCTGCCCTTGGAAGATACATCCCGCCTGAAAATAAAGTTGCAAAGTAATTGCAGAAACTAAAAATGTTTTGACAATGAATCTAGTCTATGCATATGCAACGGAGAAGATAAAACAATTCAGTGATATAGGACCGGTGGTAGATCAGATTAGATTCGGCGAAGCATTGCTCTTGCTAGGGCTAGTATTAGAAATTTCTTTCAGATTGAGCCCGGGAGCTCACCTACCGTCCGCGTGAAGCTAGAATAGCCCCTTAGGCTACCAGCGAATAGAGAAAAAAAAAGATATATGCTCTATTCCTTTTATAATCCTAATATGTATATAATATATTTCCATATTAGAATTCGATCTTCGAGTAAATGGCGACGTTGAAGTGGCAGTGGGCAGGACACATTGCTTGTAGACCGGGTGGTCGTTGGGGCCAGAAAGTAGGCCTCCCACACGATGGACCGACGACCTATTGAGGTTCGCGGGGATCCTCTGGATGCAGGCAGTGCAGGAACGGTCTTTGTGGGGAGGCTTGGTAGAGGCTTATGTCCAGCAGTGGATGTCTGTTGGCTGAGTATCTTCGAGTGAAGAACCAGCAAACAAAAAAAAAGTTACGATGCAACGTGTGACGTCATAGATATGTGTCTAACCTTTTTGTCTTATAATCTATGTTTAGCTAAATGGATAATTGAGGCAATAATTTATTTATACTGGTCTTCACCTTGTTGCAGCAACGCCCCATAAATGTACCAGAGACAATTGTGAATTGTGGCCAGTCCTCCTTCGCGTGTGATCTCCATGGCTTCGTAATATGGACTTAAACGATGAACTATATACAGCATAGGACCCATTAATATCACGGCGAAACCCAAACAGAGCCATGTCTGTAATGAAATTGAAGTTCATTAAAATTTTATAAAGGACTAGCTGTACCCGTCCGCTTCGCTAGGCATTTAATAACATTATTATTTCTCACCCCCACAAAGATTCTCAATATTCGCCCCCGCAACTGATGTAGGGAGTTCAATACTCATATAAATATTAGCCTATCCATTAAGTACATGTATTTTCTACATGGGTACCAAGTTTCAAGTCAATCGGATACATGGTTCAGTAGTTATAACGAAACATCCGTAAAAACCACTGTAGATTTATATATTAGTATAGATGATTTACTAACATTGTTAACGAAAGCGTCTAATGATTCATTACAAAACAGGCAAGTATTGAAGAAAAATTCGTTTTTTCTTTTGCGTTAAGAACCTCTTGGAGTCTGCGTATATTGTAATAGTGTAAATATATTGTAATGAGTTTGACCTCACCAGCCCTCAGGTTTGACCTTGTCTGAATTGCATCGTATAATTGAAACTCGAAAGAATCTTCCGCGGCAGCATGGAGATGGAGTGGAATACGATTTATTGCCAGTAATTTCGCTAATTATAATATATGCGGCTTTGATTATACGATGTTTTATACGTTCATCTTTGAAATCGTTCACGAACTTGTGCTAAGACGTATCGAGCGTGCGCTAATCTATTACTGTACAGACCACGGCATACCGGCCGTGAACTTATCCAATCTTAATGAAAAACATTTTTTTACCACATAACATGAAACAATAAGTGTAGTACAATAATATCAATGCTAATTACTTTTCTTCTAGACCGCGTTGAACTTCATCACCACTCGATTGTGTTTTCTGTGATCATCGACGAGAACTAAATATTAAGTGCCGATAAAGATCTATGTGAAATCAGTGCCTGACTTCACATGCTTTACAATGAGATTTAGGTAGCCATCATAGCACACAAGATATTTGACAGATGCCTAAATGTCGCTAACTACATTTTCAAGAGAATTCAACAAATATCCTACAGATATACAACTCCAGTAAAATCACCAACGCGTTGGAAGATTTTCCTTTTGTCGTTAATCCCAAAGATGTATTGGATTAATTCATTTTCTCACTTTTGTTTTAGACCCGAGTGTTTGGCGGGAGTGCGAGGAGCGAAGTTGTGTGAATCGTTTGATTTTGTTAACTTAGTGTTTCTTTGGGTTTTAATGTGTAATAATGGGGGTTCAGTAACTGTTTAGTATCTGTGAAAGTGAACAAATGTGGAAAAATTAAACAAAGCTGCTGAACGTAGATTTACGGTTTCCAAAAAGTCCACAGAAAAAGTCTCCGTAATTATACCCATTTTACTGAGATTATATTATATTTTATCCCGTCTCGTCTCGTTTCGTTTTAATTTTATCCCAGTTGATTAAAGTCTCAAATTAATCAACTCTGTCATTTTCACAGGTAATGTCAGGAACGGTATGCAAACTTACATCGGTAGTAAAAGGCAGTAGGAACAGTAAGGCTCTGCTGAGTTCCCGAGGCCTGGCAACAATGAATGTGTGCGGCTGAGTGCTCACTGGAATTGTGTAGTTGATACCTAAAATCATTAATTATGGTTCTTTTTCCCTTATATGCTCATATTTTTGCATGTAATTTGGGATTTAGCTAATCAATTAAAAGCGGTAGACTACAGTAATTATTTATACAACACTCGAATTATATTACATACAGGAAGATATGACTTTACCATACACATATAAAAAAATAAAAAGACAATGACCGGCATTCACTTTGTAGCATCGATAACCAATTAAGTATACATTAAAATACATAGATTGTGACAGATTTAATAACTTTGTGAAAAATTATCTACCTTGATTAGGACCAGGTAATACTGTGAATGGGGCAGCAGCCAAAGCCGCATGGCCTTTTGCAATGGCCGCTATTGTTAGCCGAGCACTTTGACTGTGCATCATCTGTAATAATTATTTTTTAAATTAACACCAGCTTGATGGGCAATGGAAACTGCGCGGAAGTAAAGTGGAACATTATTACAGGTGGTAGGACCTTTTGTGAGTCCGCATGGGTAGGTACCACCACCCTGCCTATTTCTGCCGTGAAGCAGTAATGCGTTTCGGTTTGAAGGGTGGGGCAGCCGTTGTAACTATACTGAGACCTTAGAACTCATATCTCAAGGTGGGTGGCGGCATTTACGTTGTAGATGTCTATGGGCTCCAGTAACCACTTAACACCAGGTGGGCTGTGAGCTCGTCCACCCATCTAAAGAGCGAAAAGTGAGCGAGAGGCATGAGAGATGTAAGGAAAATGCAGAATTATCGACTGTCGATTTCGTGCTCTAGGGTTTTAGGGTTTGCAAAGAGTACTCAACTGTAGAAAACAAAATGGCTGTACATATGAATTTATGAGTGACGTCACGGATCGCAATATAGCGTTTGATCACATACATCAAATGGCAGCCCTCGAAATCGAGTACCTATGATAAGGACATGGCGTTTATAAGTTTAATTTGAAAAATCTTTTGCATATGATAAATTATCCCCAAAACATTGCATTTGCCCAAAATTCAAAATTAGGTTATTTTCTGCCAATTGATCATATTATAGCCAATTATAAGTTCGCCATCTATATCACGTACCTACTGTGTATGCTGAAAACTTTAAAAGGGCCATCTGGAACTTTAACAGAGTTTAAATAAATCAAACAAAGAATAAATAAACGAAGGTACATTTCCAAAATTTGATGAAAGAAAAATAAACGCTGAGGATTATTCATGAAAAATTGTTCAACAGAATCCCGAAAAAGTCAAGCGGAAAGAAATACATACGTCAGTTTCATTGGAAAACTCGTGTTTGACATGACTCGGGAGCATTATCTTGATCCTGCAATGCAAAAGCAATATCAATTTTACTATTACATTCGTAGTCATTAAATTGTTTTTTGTATAATTAAAAGACAAGAAGTAATTTCATGTCTCCTTTCAAATCAGATATTGTGGATGGAATTCATGAAATTGATATCGATTTAATAGTACGATGTACAGATCTTGATCCTAAGTATTACCCCCCTAGGGGCTCTAGACCAGTGTGCTTAGTGCGAGTTTCTTAACGTTCTCGATAGCGTAAAAGTTTACCCAATTTTGTATGCAGTTGGAACAGCGCCCCTAGGGGCAAACGTACGCAAACGATCCTTCCATACAAATATGAGCTAACTTTTACGCTATCCAGAACGTTAAAAAACTCGCACTAAGCACATAGAAGTGTCTTTTATTATATTTACCTATCGACTAAACTATTGTAGGGACTTTACATTGGTATCAGAACGAACAGCTGACGATACTTATACAATAATAATTCTTTTTATACGTTTTGAAGTTGCCCGAAAAATACCAAAACGGTCGATGTTAACGAATTTGATGACAAAGGTTCTTTCTGTTGTGCTCTAATTATATGTACATAATTGTAATAATTGAATTTGATATCACATGAAGTACAAGAAATTTCACTACTATACTGTTACATACTCACGTAAAGTTTTTGTTCTTAGCCAATTGATTGACGATATCAAACATAAGTCCACTGTATTTCACGATTGTGCCCGATTCGTTTGCTTGTAGGAACGTCCACGGAGGATTCTAATGTCCAAAAGAACTAAATGTTAGATGGAACTAAAATTTGTTTCTAGAAACTGTGATAATAAAGCCTTCCCATATACTATTCCTATCCTACCCCTAAGAAATGTAGTTAGTCCGACTTAGAATAACTCTAGCATTCTGCATTTGTTTCATTATTTCATTCCGAGTCTTTCGGTAGGATTCTATTCTGTATTAGATAAAAAAAATACAAATTAAAACTACTTTTACGGTTTCATTTCATTTTCCTAATCACAGACGGCTAAATAAAAAGATAAGTTGTAATTATGTATTGTAACTAAGTTATATTACTGGTGGTAGGACCTCTTATGAGTCCACACGGGTAGGTACCACCACCCTGCTTATTTCAGCCTATTGAAGCAGTAAATATATCAAAATATACCCGAACGAACGATTTAAAACTAACTTACATGATAAGTTATTATCGGTAATTCTTTCCCTCTAAACCCGTGATGCACATGAGGAAATAATAAATCCGCAAACGTCATAGCGTCGATTGGACGCCAAATTCCGACCTGTGGAATGCAATTGATGGTGACCTCAAAGTTAACTTTGTGCCGATAGCTTGAAGTAAGGAAGTGAGTATCTGTGTTTTAGAGATGGAACACACATCAAAGCCTTATCAACAAAATCCCGATAATGTTTAATTATTTACTCGGTGGTGCATAAGTTAGCGCTCCTGACTGTTTAGTCGAGGATTGTGAGTTCTATTCCCACATCCGGCAAACATTCGTGTGATAAGCAGTTTGTTTGCTCTTTGTCTATATACATATACCTCGTCAGGTCATAAGTATTGTCACACAGTAAAAACTTTCTTTTAGAATGCTGGCCACAAAAAAGTTTATTGAGTTCGAATTTCGAATTGTTCATGAAAATAAAAATGTATACTTTTAGAATTTTTACTCATTTTTAAATATGGAGTGGACGCTTAAGGAAGACCGTGTGGCAGTTATTGCGTTGTATCGTTGCGGTTACGCGCCAATTCAATTTTTTAACATACTGAAAAATTTGAATATAACCAAAAGATTCGTTTATCGTACCATCAAACGATACAATGAAGACTCTAGTGTAGATGACAGGTCAAGAAGTGGTCGCCCTCGGTCTGTTAGGACTCCAGCAGTGATAAAAGCTGTGAAGGCGCGAATTCAAAGAAATCCCAAACGTAAGCAGAAACTGTTGGCCCTTCAGATGGGGTTAAGCAGAACCACGGTGAAAAGGGTGTTAAATGAAGACTTAGGGCTTCGGGCATATCGAAGAAAAACAGGACATCGTTTGAATGCTCGTCTAATGGACCTGAGACTGAAGAGATGCCGCGCTTTGTTGAAGCGGTACGCGGGAAAAAAATATCGGGAAATTCTTTTTTCGGATGAAAAAATTTTTACCGTAGAAGAGAGCTACAACAAACAAAATGATAAGGTGTACGCACACAGTAGTGAAGAAGCGAGCAACCGTATTCCGCGTGTCCAACGAGGTCATTTTCCATCCTCGCTCATGGTATGGTTGGGAGTTTCTTATTGGGGCTTAACAGAGGTACATTTTTGTGAGAAAGGTGTAAAAACGAATGCAGTTGTGTATCAAAATACAGTCCTGACGAACCTTGTGGAACCTGTTTCTCATACCATGTTCAATAACAGGCACTGGGTATTCCAATAAGATTCGGCGCCAGCTCATAGAGCGAAGAGCACACAAGACTGGCTGGCGGCGCGTGAAATCGACTTTATCCAGCACGAAGACTGGCCCTCCTCCAGTCCAGATTTGAATCCGTTAGATTACAAGATATGGCAACACTTGGAGGAAAAGGCGTGCTCAAAGCCTCATCCCAATTTGGAGTCACTCAAGACATCTTTGATTAAGGCAGCCGCCGATATTGACATGGACCTCGTTCGTGCTGCGATAGACGACTGGCCGCGCAGATTGGAGGCCTGTATTCAAAATCATGGATTTCATTTTGAATAAACTTTAGTGTCATAAGAATCTATGTTTTGTTAAGTTCATTTTGGTATATGAATGGTTACATAATGAATAAACTTGTTTCAATTATTTTACATTAAACATGTGACAGAATTTATGACCTGACTAGGTATATATTTAAACATGAATAAGTATGTATATCAGTCTGTGTTACCCATAATACAAAGACCCCGAAATTGGGGCTGGACGACCGTGTGTGATATGTTCCCAGTTATTAGGTATTGCTATAGTTCCTGTTCAAGAATTTAACAAATCAGTCAAGTAACTTTTTGGCACTAAGTCGAGTCAAGTTAGCTGTGAAGCTCATCTACCCAAATAACTGAAAATATGTTATTATTAACTTACATTCATTAATTCAAGATGCTCAATAACTCCGGTAGAACCATTCGCATGTTCATTAATTTGTTCAGATACATCACTTTGCCGGTACGTAACGCCCCAAGTATCGGCCGCTAATGCTCGCCACAATGTGCAGTTTCCACAGACACTTTTCGCCAATATGTATTGCTATTAAACACACGGTTTCTGAACACTTTATAAAGTAAAAAGGCCATACTTTGGTTTACCGTATCTATACTATTAATATTATAAAACTGAAGAGTTTGTTTGTTTGAACGCGCTAATCTCAGAAAGTACTGATCTCATTTGAAAAATTCTTTCAGTGTTAGACAGCCCATTTATTAAGGAAGACTATAGGCTATATAACATCATGCTAAGACCAATACAAGCGGAGCACCAATAAAGAATGTTTCAAAATCGGGTTTTGAGAGCTTCCGTTGCGTGCGCTGTAGAAACGGTTAAAGTTTCGCTAATATAATGTATGACAAAATTGTTCCGCTTTAAAAGATCTAAAAAAAGTCCACGACAGCATATGTCTATATGTTAAGGTTGACTCACTATAATATTTTTTATGCTAACCAAATTTGTTCTAAAATAAAGCATTATTCGTGAACTATTCCACGCGGACGAAGTCGCGGGCAAAAGCTAGTCAACTAATGCAAATATTTGTACAGCAAATTCAAACCGTAACTCCTTAGCGCAACTTAGGGTTATTAAACGATCGTATCAAATGTAGGAGTTTTTTTAGGAATAGGTGAAAAAATCCAGATATAATAAACCTTACTGTACGGCCTGCTGAAAAGAAGTATTTGATACGAAAAAGCTTCGCGGAACCAAATGAACTATCAACTGCAACATATGCATAATTACCTGCATGTGCTTAAGTAGGATGTCCCTCCGTTGTACTTTGCTGGGTCTGATCGCTTCCCACTCTTCATCTGAGACTTGAGCAGCCACATCGAACTCGGCGTGTATTGCAGCGTCCAGTGCCGATATAAAAGCACTCATCATCTCTTGGCTATAGCACATCAAACCGTTCTACAAAGAGAATACCTGGCTTCAATATAAGTATTTAATATCAAAATTTTGGATTGACTCAAAAGTTGGATAAAAACACTTAGATCTCATATTGTTTTCGACGATCGCCGAAACCTATAAAAGTCCAATAAAGGTCCAATAAAAGGCGTCTAATGCAAAGGATTAGACGCCTTCAGCTCTAACACTAGGAGCAGGCTTAGGGACCCCGGTAACCGTACTCGTCGAACTCGACAAAGAGGTTGACGTGCAGCCTAACCCATGCATCAGCCCGCTAAGTTTCTCGCCGGAACTTCTCAGCGGGTCGCGATTCCGATTCAGTAGTAGATTCATTCGCGAAGCAGCTGCTCTTGAGTTGTTAAGTCTCCCTTGGAGGCGCTCGGACAGCTGTTAGCTGATCCCACCCCTCCTGGCTGAACCTTTGCTCGCCCACGTGTCCGGGTGAAACTGGAAAGGCCTCCGGGCCACCAGTAATCCTTCAATCCAAAAAAAACCTATAAAAGTTCAAATTCCTTTAATATATTTTTTTACTGAACGAGAGCAGCTTCCCGTATATAGCCCCGATGAAAACGAAACCTCTGTTTGTTTTTTATTTACATTTTCCGAGTACATTCGCGCTGTGACTTTTAGGATAATTCGCGAGTTGAACGGCTAATGTAAAAGTTTTTTGTCATAATACCATCGACGTAAGGTGACGTATGAGACTTTTTTTAATTCAACAGAATGGTGCATTTCAAGAGGGAAGCATATATGAGGTTAATCTACACTATTAAATAAATCTACAGTGGTTTTTACGGATGTTCCGTTATAACTACTGAACCATGCATCCGATTGACTTGAAACTTGGTACCCATGTACTTAATGGATAGGCTAATATGAGTGTTGGCCTCCCTACACCAGTTGCGGGGGCGTTAATGATGAGAATCTTTGTGGGGGTAAGAAATAATAATGTTAATTTTAAATGCCCAGCGAAGAGGCCGGATACAGCTAGTTCGTTTATAAAAGTCTGTCAATGGGTGCGTCCGTGAAACCTATGTATTTGCGTTTTTCATACCTTACAATCCGGTCCATTTTCAGTGATATTGTATATAAAAGCTACATTCTCGCCCTCATAGAGTGTATTAATAAATCCACTTAGGTTACTTGCGTGAGCGTTAGTATCCGAGATAACATACAACCATTGAGCCATGGTGTGGGACATTAATAGCTCCCGCGCAATCTCCGCCATTGTTGTCATCACATCCGAAGTAACTATTGCTATGAAGTTTTCGCCTAAATAAAAAACAAAACCCAGTACTTCTTTTTTATTATAACGAAGCTTACAACGGAAAGCAGAATTTGAAATACTGTAAATTTAATAACTCACAATTTCTACATTGTATACTCTTCAAGCCTGAATAATTTATATGACCAACAGAAAATTTTCAGGAGTTGGTGAAATAGTTAAATAGAATTACAATGTACAGGCTACGCTAGAAATCGCTTCGAAGGGTCCTTCGTTGGGGTGTCCTTAGGGTGGCCGCGCGTCTGGTTGGAGGGTTGACGGCGGTAACCTCGTTACCCCGGCCGGGTTCTGACCTCGGGGGACACTTGCAGGGGCGTCGTTTCGTGGGTAGAGCCCTAAATACCATCCTTGAGCCCGCGGTTTGCTCTTAGCATCTGCGGACCTTCGAGTCCCACTTACCCCCGGGGGTAGATACTTTGTTCCCCGGTCCAGAAAAAAAGACTAGGCTAAAAAAATCTATTCGGTGCATTAACTTACCGATATATTTAACTGGGAGCTTAGACAAAACTCTATGCATCTCTTTCCTTCTTAGATATTCGTTCATTTCGTGTTTCATCTTAAACACCGTAACGGAAACCGGTCGCGCGCTTTCCTCATCAATTTGTGAAGTCAATGATTGTACCACACGGGACACCATGTCCCTGCCTAAAGTTTAATCATACTCTTTCTACTTCTGGTTCTGGTAGAACAAACTATCTACAGGCTATCATTTATTTATAAGTATTTACTATCCCTAAATAATACGGATGCGCATATTTACATATATACCTAGTTGTTTTTTTGTGTGTTTCAACATCTATGGGCTCTTGTAAATGCTTAATGCCAGGCTTGCGCCGCTCGTTTGCCCATCGGCAATAGTATTTAAAAAGATTGATATAAACTATAGTTTTGTAGTAAACGTGAAAAGTTGTTATTTCTTCAATATACAGATTAGTATTCGACATTTAAGACGATGACGGTAGTAAATATATTATCTAGCTGCATAGCTCAAAATGTTAAAATACTTTATTTAATTCTTTTATGTTTCAGACTCTAACAATATTTTATACGGTACTTTAAAAATAACTTTCAATTGATCTATATATTTTATTTTATTTGTTTTGTCTAAAATATTTTATGACTTAGGTATAGAATTAATTTCGCATTATGATTTCGCCACAAATATTTACGACGATAAAATTCAAACGTATAAATGACTCACCTAAAGTGTCGTCATGTAGTATGACAGCAGACTTCCAACTAATAGCGTTCGAACTCCTCAAATCTAAGAGAAGCTGCGGTAATTCTTCACCGGGCTCTGAATAAGTTACAGTTACAGCAGAGCGCTGTGGGAGCCGTGGGCAGTCCACTTCTGTCAAGGCAAACAGAAGAAGATCTTCTTCTTCCGTACGCGAGAATAATTCCCATGTGTCTTCGCATGACGCTATACTGAATACCGCTAGGAAACCTGTACGCAATACGGGAAACTAAGCACCAAACGTAAAAGACTCCTAAATGCTATTTACATACAAATGTATACAGAGGTATTCTATGCATTTAACTTGGTACAGTTGTCTTAGTTAAGGAAGGTTTTTGTCACAATAATGACAAAGAGGCGCAAGTGTATTTAGTTTCAACAAATAGACGAATTCATGGCGTAGGCAGACCCTCCGAAGCAAGACGGATTCCACTAGCTAAAAAGCTATCGCATTACCAAACAGCTTTTAACACATTATACTTTGAAAATCACCCAAAACCAAACTCCTTCTATGACGACCAATTTCCTTTTAATTTCAATTTTTTTTTTTAATTTCTACAAAGGAGCCGGGCCAAATGTACTTGCCAGATATATTTTACTTTTAATTCATGTTTGATAAGGTCTTTTTTCGCATAACAATTCACTTAACTATAATATGATCACTTTAGAGTTAACACCTCCCCTGGATTAAGGAGGCCAGTATCTAAGACCCGAAATTAAAACAGATTCTAATAATATGTACCACAATTAGATAAAATATTGTTTAAGGTCTGTACTAAGAATAGTTTGTTGAATATTTACTGATTGTTTAATAATAAAGCAGATCCAAGTGACCATGAAAAGAATGAAGTTAAGGAGAAGTACTAGCTGTATAGACAAAATGAAGAACAAATTGATTGGACAAATTGAAGACATGAGTGGATGAAGGCGTTAAGTACAATTTTTAAGATTTTTGAGTGAATGAAGTTTGAATGAAGGTGTCATGTGCCTTTATATTAGACCTTAAAACTCCGGCCTTAAAGACTATTTTTAGAAATTGCATGTGATGAAGGAGTTATTTACAAAGAAAAAGTACAAGGAACAAAAGTTGTATCTGTATCTATCATACTCGCTTCATCCACTCATGTCTTCAATTATAAAGGTAGTAAGAAATACCTTTCTTCAAGCTAATGGTCGTCCACGAATAGTAATGGACAAGCACACCTCCATGCTTCAGTTCAACCCGCGCCAATTCCTTTATATAATCTTTCAGTTCGTCTAGCACGGTTTGGTACTTGTCACCCAGGTACTGGCGATCCAAAATTACGGCTGTCGAAAAAAAACCTTTTTACAATTACACATAAAGAATATAGCTGATGATTATCGTAAAACCTCATTAAAAAAATCTGTTCCTTTCCAAATTTGAATGAAGAGTCAAGCAGTAAAGACTATAATTGTTGTTAAGGCATTGTGTCATCTGATGGCTAACGACGCTCATTTTCATTAAAAGCCTTTGAAATAGTAGACACCTTTGCTTTATTTGGATTACGAATTTAAATATGTCAGTTTGTCAATTTATGTATGGCTTAATATTATTGTTATTACTTGTGGTAGGAGCTCTTGTGAGTCCGCACGGGTAGATACCACCACCCTGCCTATTTCTGCCGTGAAGCAGTAATGCGTTTCGGCTTGAAGGGTGGGGCAGCCGTTGTAACTATACTGAGACCTTAGAACTTATACCTCAAGGTTGGTGGCGCATTTACGTTGTAGATGTCTATGGGCTCCAGTAACCACTAAAAATTAGGTGGGCTGTGAGCTCGTCCACCCATCTAGGGAATAAAAAAATCGCGTATTGAAGAATCCGCGTTTTTTATTTTAGTTAACGGCATTTTCGACATAAACCCAATGAGATACACCACCTTATTACAATAAGGTCAACTATAATTGGAAAACAGAAGTTTTTATTATTATCATTATTACAACCAAAGAATTGACCAAAATACTATACCAATTCGATTTTTTTTTATATTTCGTAAAACTATTATTTTTCTCACCTATAGAAGCATTTGCGGTTATCAAAGATGGAAAATCTTCGCCGTGTACCAAAATAGCTAAACAAAGAACACCTAACACCCATATTTTCATCTTGCCCTGTCTTAGACACTCTTAAGAATAGGCAACTGAATGAACCAATCATAATTCGTCAAAATAACTGCCAATATCCAATCAGAGAATATTATTATTTATGGTCTCATTAAAGCATCGAACGCACGTGGCATGTTAACATTCGTACAAAGACTAACTGTATTGTGAGGACGCACCAATAAATACAGGATGTTTTCAGTTTATTCGTAAATAAGTTACATTTTAATGGGCAGAAGTAACACAATTTAACGAATATAATATTGCCGAAAAAAAGTAATAGAACAAAAATATAATCATTGACACAAGCGGAGAGAGATAAAGAGAGAGAATATACTTTATTGCACACCAAAACACAAATAACATTTAAAAAAACAGTCAACAAGCAGATATTTACTGGAGGTAGGACCTCTTGTGAGTCCGCACGGGTAGGTACCACCACCCCGCCTATTTCTGTCCTGAAGCAGTAATGCGTTTCGGTTTGAAGGGTGGCGCAGCCGTTGTAACTATACTAACACCTTAGAACTCATATCTCACAGTGGGTGGTGCATTTACGTTGTAGATGTCTATAGGCTCCAGTAACCACTTAACATCAGATGGGCTGTGAGCTCGTCCACCTATCTAAGCAAAGTAAAAAAAAAGATATATTTATACAATAAGCGGTCTTATCGCTAAATGCGATCTCTTCCAGACAATCGATTTATTTACAGAAATCCTGAAAAGACAAAAGATACAGCAGGTATGTTGCGGTGTACTATTAACAATACATTAAGAAAAGATTATAGAGTTAAAATAAGTCTTCTAACGATATGTTTCCATAAAGCGACCTGGTAAACCTCTTAACATATCCATCGCAAGCTCCATCCCCGACCCAGACGACGGAGCACAGAACAGATTTCGGGTGCGACTTGCAACTTAACCCCCACAGAAACAACCCACTGAGATTCCCGCCGGATCTTCTCAGTGGGTCGCGATTTCGATCCGGTGGTAGATTCAGCAAACCACTGCTTTTGCTGCGACAGATATTAGCAATCTTTATAAGGCTGAGCCCCGTGAGCGCGCTCATCGACCAAGGCGAAGCCAGGATACCCCCTTGAAACTCTACTTCAGATCAGAGAATCTTCTTAGGTCTGTTAGGATATATCACCACGAACTATTACTATGACATTCTATTTCCCCTGAATTTTATCAATTATCATAGATAATACACATAAATTGGTTGTAGATAAACAACTCAAGCACACAAAAAAAAGTTTACGGCCGTCGGCCACTAGATGGCTTCGCTTCAATTAGTTTCTCATTGCTCCTGTAGATGCCAGTAACATAGTAGGTACCTATCCTATATTTTATTTATAATGAAGGATTTTGTAAATTTTCAGAAACCACAAATTGATAAAATTTAATCAATTCATCTATAACAAATAAGGACTTGTACGAATTTTTTTTCTGGGTTAGTTATACAATAATTAAATGCCTTAACTTTAACAACATATAAGTTTACGGGCATCCGCTACAAGATGTCGCTAGTTTCCATACAGAAAAAATATTTGTCGTAAAGCCTCGCAGTTTCCGAGCCCTGTCAATTATCATTAATTTAAAGAAAAAAATTTGGCTACCCTCAATAATATGTGTAGTATATATACATACCTCAAGTATATTACTAGGTACCTTAGCATGAAATATATTTCAGATTATCAAGTGTCCTAAATTAAAAGAACTTTTATGATTCCCCATTATTTTACAGTTTCCGTGACCACGAAACCTATTATTAGGGGTTGAAGTATGAAATTACCGATTTGTAATGCCGATGAAGCAATAATGGTGAAGATCGATTCAATTCGATTCTAGGGCACCCATTTTTCATATTTTTTTTATTTTATTGATTTGACGCAAATGAGTCAATATTGTTGGTAAAGTAACGTTATGCCATACCCCTAATTCCTGAGTAGTTTGGCTCGGACCGGCTTTCACCATCTCGTTCAATTCATTGTTATTCACATGTGTGGGAGGTCTTCCACGTGGTTCGTTCTTGAAATCAAAAGTTTCATCACGAAAGCGTTTAAACCAAAAATCGCACGGTGCGTTCATTAGCAGTCTTCTCTCTAAACGCAACATTGATATTTCGAGCTGTTTCTGCAGCGTCAGTTCCGCGTCGGAACTCGTGTTCAAACATTACTCGAATATACAAAGTATCCATCTTTCTTATCTAAGCTGAATAAAAAAAACAACTGAAAGTCGATAATCAAATGTTGCACATTTTTTAAAAGAAGAACCTCATAGGTACCCTTTGAAAAAAGTTTCACTCAAAAATCTCAAACTATGAAGGTTCCATGTCAATTCGAAGTACTTATTACAATAAAACGCAATTTCATACTTTAACCCCTTTTATTAATATTATTATTATTTAAATACCTCTAAGAAAAAAACATAATATATCTACTTTTGAAACATCCTTTATTCCGAGATCTAGTTTCAAAAGGTCAGAAACGATCGAATTAAAAATTAATAGCAATTAGTCGTATCACGTAAACGTGAAGCGATATAGAAATTACAAATCTTGTTGTATCAGATCGAATACCTAGACAATCATTAGTTCCTAAATTTTAAGAGATTCTGTAACTCAAACAATTATCTCTAGTACAACTGTCAATTAGCTCGTGGCCTATAGGATAAGATGCCCGGCGTCTTCACATCTTCTCGGTAATGCGATATTGCCTAGGTTTCAAATCACGCCGGCAACAAACAATTTTTCTAATGAAATAAGGACTCACAGGTGCTCACGAACGTTTTCGATAATGAAAGATAAACATCGTGTTATAGAAACCAAATCCCCATAATTTATAAAACAACGTAATTAATGATGTTAGAGCGTATTGTGGGCCCGCTTAGGCATAGGTAGGGTTACAGTTGGAAAGGTAGGAATTTATTTTGTAACATCAATTTTGTTTTTCATTGATTTTCCAAACAAAATCACAAACAACAACAACACCGTAACGGTAAAAAAAACCGTAGGCCCATCTAATTCTATATATTTAAAACCGCACATAAACTTCGAAAAACAAAATTTTCCATGTTTCATTTATTTAAAGAAACTTTTCATGGCTTAATATCCAAGTATTGAGGTTAGGTCGTTACTAAAACTCATAGAAGTACAATTTTGTTATTAACGCTAGCGACTTATTATTTTATAAAATAATAAATAACCATACTAATAGAAAACCAAATTTATATCATTCAACACAAAAGAGACATCAACACCATGATCAATGCCGATAGCTGCTCATTGTCAATTCGAATCAGCCAACTTGTCGCCTCTTAACGTAAGTATAAGTAAAAATTATGTGAAACTCACGAATCTGGATTTTTCCATGCTTCTCGATTTAATTTAAGGAGATACTATACATATTACATTATGTAAAGTCTGTTCTTACAAATTATAAATCTTTGTTACCTATTTCTTATACTTTGTTACGTTATTTTCTCACATTCTATACCTGAAACTAATAACATAATTTCCGATTTCACATTCTACACTTTTACCGTTATCTTTCCAACAATCTAGTTTTTCCCATAAGAGATAACAATATTATAAAATAGCATCAATTTCGTAATGACAATAAAAATATTTCCGTTTCAGAGTTTTTCTGAAGGCTCAGAGACAACGAAGTCACTGCTCGTGATTGCAAATAAAAACAATTTGACAATTACGGCCAACACTTATCTGTCATCCAATTATTATTTTTTATTTTGAACATTACATATTACTGAACAATCAACATTTTATTTGGTAGGTGATAGGTACATAAAAATTACAATGCCGAAACGATATAACAGAATTTTCATAACCGTAGGGACAACACGATTTGACTTACTCTGCGAATACATACTTTCACCAGCCGTAATTCATGCACTAAAGGAGATCGGCTGCAAAGAGGTTGTAATACAAATTGGCAATAGTGACGTAGATCCAGGAAATTTTACTAAAAACGAGATTGAGTTCACTTTGTACAGATTTAAGGACTCTATATTAGAAGATATAAAAAAAGCCGATTTAGTTATAAGTCACGCCGGGGCAGGAAGCTGTCTTGAAGTGTTAGAAGAAAAGAAACCTCTTTTGGTGGTTGTTAACGAGGATTTGATGGACAACCACCAACTAGAACTCGCAGAACAGCTCCAAATAGATGGACATTTATACTATTGTACTTGCGATACTCTGGTCAACACACTAAATGTTGTTGACTTTGAATTATTACGTCCCTTTCCCAAAGCAAATCCTATTTTGTTTGTCAGATATTTGGATGATATTTTCAGAGTATATAAAAATATAGACTGATTAGTAAAACATAGTGTTTCTTTTTAACACTGTACCAGAGGAGCATATTTGTAATGTTTAAAATGGGAATAACAAAAATCTAGGTTAACTAATCACGACACAAATACCAAATTATAAATTAATTTTATTGAAAAATACAGATTGTTACAAAACACTTTTTTGAACAGTTTCACTATTACAAAGTATTACACATTCAACGGATTTACAGAAAAATAAGGATAAGACATTTAATTAAAAAATTGTTTATTAATATTATAATTTATTTACACTAGTTTCTTAGCCTCAAAAAAGCTCTTGAGATGTCTCATCTGCCAGTAACCGATGATGACAAGGACACCTGTCTGTAGCAAACTCCACCAGAGCACCCGCTGGTTTGTGCTTTCTGATGTTTGTCGGAAACGCTCTTCTCTTTGCTGTAAATAATAAATTTACATTAACAAGTTGTCATCTCTTAAAAGAGTGATGTAACTATGTCAGCTTTCAGATCAGGCAAACATGTACCAATTCTAATGAAGTGCATACTTAACACAACAATGACTTCTATGATGAAAGAATATTGTGTAACATAAATCAGAGCCACAAAAAAATTGTGTAATTTCTGGTAGAAGGGCATATTATTTGGACCTCTCTCTCTAGTTCTTTGGAGGTGCCTTAGTCCGACATATCCCAGTCTCCACCCCAGTCAGCCGGGTACCCGTAAACTGAGATTCTCCATCAATACAAAAAAGAGCATTCTATGAGCCAGGATGGGTAGATACAACCAGTCTGCTAATTCCTACTTTAAAGCACTTTTAGTTTCCATTGTATACGAAGAGCCCTTACACTATACAATTGAAAATTACCTCATATTTCAATGTCAGGTAAGTGTAAATATTTATTAAAAAAAAAAAGTTCAAATGATATTTTGGCTGACCATGATTGCTAGTAGCAATCTTTGTAAAATTGTTTTTCCCCATTGTTTCCAACCTTACTTATTTTTCTGACCTATAACAAATAACGTCAAGGAAACAATTCATAAACTTGGATACCAATTCCAAATTAAAATCATAAACCTATAGAGGTAAGCATATTATCCATATTAGAATATATTGTATTTTAATTTGTTGTACGAACCCTCTGGTAAGCCTGCTCCTTTGTGATCTGGTGTACTTGATCCAGCAACTGTCTAATCCTGAGTTGAAGTTCGGTCAGTTTTTCCTTTTGTGCAACATTTGCATAGTCTACAGCATGCTCACCAACTTGAATGTCAAGATGAACCTGTGACAAACGGTTATAGATTTTTATTATAATTTTTGAGGGCAAATTCACTCTACTCAAATTTTTTAGTTTTCTCCCTAAATTTTAGTTTTTCAAACTCATAAACTATAATAAGAGTAAAGATAGGCAGCGGTTTGGCTCTGCCCCTGGCATTGCTTAAATCCATGGGTGATGGTAACCACTCACCATCAGGTGGGCCGTATGCTCATCTGCCTACAATGAGAATAAAAAAAAAGTTATATTATAATTCTCTTACAAACCATTGTTTTTTACCTTTTATTTTTACAACAATATACTAGTAGATTTTAGATTATAAGGAAGAAAGAAAGCTGCTTTGGACTGGGTTCTTCGTGTTTAATTACTAGGAATTTATAAGCATGATATGATTGAGTACATCCAATACTTTACAAAATCCATTAGAAAAATGAGCCACAAATAATCCTGGCACAAATTAGAAAAAACGAGAAAAAATGATTTTTGCATGCTTACATGTTTAATGATTGTAATTTCATTTATTAATTTTCAAAGTAAGCCATCAAATCTTACAAGTGTGAATGGTGAACACTTAAAATTAATGTCTTTATTTTTATTATTATGAGCAAATCAAATAAACCATAGATAATAACCGATACAAGTATTGTTTGCACAAGTGTGTTTTTATCAAACCCATGCATTTTTTTATACGGATTGTAAAATAAAATGTTAAGTATCATAAGAATGGCAATGAAAACCGTTAGAATCGACTTGTGTAAGCAATTTTTTTTTAATACTCACTCTTAACTGTGAACCACTGAACCATGAAGTGCTATTAGAGTACATGCATATTACATGTTCACCAGGAGTGCTGGATGTGAATGAGATCATTCCTTCCAACGAATAGACTCGAGACAACAGTATTCTATCATTCGGATCGCGGACTTCAACGTGCATGCCTATGCCCGGTGTTGTTTGCATGAATCCGCCAGATTTCGGATCGTATAACTCGACTTTGTAATTTACTGAAATATAGAACAACATAATGATAAAAATAAAGAAAGCGGTGTCAATATTCATTGATAAGGAATTGTTATGGTTGAAATATCTACACTTAGTATTGAACATAACGAAGCATTAACAGCTCTTACCTATAACTGTGGTATCGTCAGGTATTTCTTCTATAAAACATTTTCGTTCTCCCTCTGCTATGTGGAAGTACAAAGCCGAAGCACAGTCGGCAAGCAATGCTATCACTAATAGTGAAGATAATTTAATAAGCTCCATGTTTTCGGCCACATAAATGCGAGGAATGGAAATTAATAGCGACTGTGAAAAATTGACATTTCACACGTCACCGAAATTACACTCCGTTTTACGAGTTACAAAAAAAAAATGTGTTTCACAAACATATTTATATTGTAATTATTTCGTTTAGAAAGAATCAAAATTAATTTGCTGCTTATCTATTATTAAACCTAATTAAAAAAAAGAAAACAAAAGCTCTTACTTTTGAAATTGAAGCTAGACATTAATATTACAAAATAATCCTCAAATAATGACATCTGACAGCAAATGAAAACGTTAATGATGACGTTTTAATAGAAAACATAAAAAAAAATGTGTACCTACGTAGGTACCTACTTATGGAGAAGTCACGAAGTGATCGTTGAAATGTGTTTACGAAGATACTAAACGTGTTAAAACTGTTAAAGGTACATAATAAATTTAGTACGTAATAAAATGCAATACCTTCTTTAGATTAGAAAGTTAAGATTTTTTCAGGATAGTTAATGTAACTCAAAATGGACCCATTCATCTTAGCTGCTATAATAAGTGGAATAGTCATCATCATACTATCTATAGCGTTCCTCCGTGTGTCACAAGTTAAACCTCAAGGTACGTATACTTGAATTATTTTCATTTGAAAACTTCACTCAAATTGCAATTTAAATTTTTCTCGATATGTTCTTCAGCTGCTGCCAGACCAAGGGCTGTTGTCCAAAGGGATGGAGGACCCGGTCGAGTACAAGCTGTTAGGAATCAAAGGGCGCGGATGAGAGCGAATGGTAACTTGTCTTTAATTTTAAAAAAATCGCTTCACTACTGGCAAACACATTTCAATTGAAATAAAAATTAACAGCTGCTCGGCACCAAGCTGCCTTAGAAGAAGAACCAGAAATACAAGAAGAAGCTGATGAGGGTGCGCCTGATATTGACCAGAAAATTGACTTTGATGACAAAATGGGAGCTAAGGTGATCAATTAAATTACAAATATATAATAGATAGGAAAATTGGCAGATAAGAAGAAAAGGTAATGTGTTCATTTTCAAAATTTGAATTACTTAACCAGATACAGACAAAGATAGTACAACTTTCATCAGTTTCATCATATTTAATGATAAGAATTCCAGGCCAAATCGAAGTCTAGCAGTCCAGTCAAGCCTGGACTTATGATGTTCCAAGTTATGATTTGTTTAATATATAGGCTTGGATTAGTATGAACAACCACATCTAATTTTGTATTATAATAATGATAAGTTTTGACCAATAAGAATTTTTTCATTACACTTTGTATGTCAATTATTAAATAACAAAAGCTTAGAAATTTTCATAACAGAAAAGAGCTAAAATGGAAGCTAAATTAGAAAAGAAGAAAGCCCGCGAAGCTGAGGATCACCTGAGGGAAATAAAAAAAAAGAAAGAGGAAGAACAAGAACAAGAACGCAAGAAGATTGAAGAGAAACAAGAGGTACATAAATAGGTTTTACTGGTAGTAGGACATCTTGTGAGTCCACACGTAGGTAGGTACCACCACACTGCCTATTTCTATAGTGAAGCAGTAGTATCATTTGGTTTGAAAGATAGGGCAGCGATTGTACGGTACTGAGACCTTGAACTCATATCTCAATGTGGATGGCGGCATTTACGCTGTAGTTGTCTATGGGCTCCGGTAACCACTTAACACCAGGTCGGCCGTAAGCTAAACAAAAAAATATGTTTTGCCCATAAACAATATAAACCACTGTTATCTATAGGCAATTTCGGATTGCTTCATCTTATGCAGAGATGACCTACCATCAGAAATTTCGACATTGGAAATGAACATTTTTAAACTGACCACAAAAGCTATAATTGTTTTTTTTTTTTATTATTGCTTAGATGGGTAGACGAACTCACAGCCCACCTGGTGTTAAGTGGTTACCGGAGCCCATAAACATCTACAACGTAAATGCGCCACCCACCTTGAGATATAAATTTTAAGGTCTCAGTTACAACGACTGCCCCACCCTTCAAGCCGAAATGCATTACTGCTTCACGGCAGAAATAGGCAGGGCAGTGGTACTTACCCGTGCGGACTCAGAAGAGGTCCTACCACCAGTAGAATCATTTTATTAAATCCGATCATGCTTAGGAAGAAGAACGTAAACGTGAAGAAGCAGAAAAGAAAGCCGAGGATGAACGTAAGAAACGTGAGCAAGAGGAATATGAAGCAATGAAGGCGGCGTTTAGTATTGAAGGAGAAGGCTTTGATGAGAATGAAGAAGAGGACCGGGAAAGTTTGTTGCGTGACTTCATTGGTTATATAAAGGTAATTTTAAAATACGGTGAACTGCACTACACACATACACATAGGGTGAATGCAATGATAAAATAACTAGTGTGCAATCACAATTTTCATGCATCATGCTCTCTTCATTTTAGTACGAAAGTTCTAAGTCATCTAAAATGAAAAAAACAACCAAGATTTTATCCGAAACTCGCTACAGATCCCAACTGTGGCCGGTCGTAGTACCTATTGATAATTAAATACAAATAACTGCGATTGAAATTACACTCAAAAATGCTTACAGGAAGTTTACAGTCCATCAAGATGTTCATTCAATTTTAGGAATTTTCTTGTATTAATCATATAATACAATTAGTATTTTAAGCTTGTAATAGGGGTCCATGTACTTGAAATGAATTTTGAAAATCACATTTTATCATACTAAAGATGGTAACATTTGTGGCCAACATTCATTCCAACTTGAGGTTGGGATAGCTGCATGTAATTGTAAATGAATTCATTACAATAATAATTGTAATGACTCAAAGTGAACAGGAGCATTCACGTTCATAGATAATAATCTATCTATGACTATACACTCGCATGAGATGCACATTGTAGTTGTCTATAGATACCGTTCAATTAAAACCTAACATGCCATAGCCTCGTTTACCCATTAAATGACCTAAGGTGTACCAAATACTATAGCGTATCTGTATATTCAATAAAATAGTTGACGCTCTTTTCAGACCCAGAAAGTAGTTTTACTGGAAGATTTAGCAGCTCATTTTAAGCTGAAAACTCAAGCCGCAATTGACAGGATCACAGAACTGCAAGCTTCAGGTGAACTAACTGGTGTCATTGACGACAGGGGAAAATTCATTTATATTTCACAAAGTGAACTAGAATCGATTGCAAAATTCATCAAGCAAAGAGGACGGGTGTCCATTGCAGAATTAGCTGAATGCAGTAATGATTTGATCAACTTGGCCCCTGTCACTGTGCCTTAATTCAAATACCTGTAAATACTATTTGTGTAAAGAAATATAATTATTCTGAACTTGATTTATTTTTATTAAATAAAATATTACAATTTAAATTTTTATTCCCTTATTTCAAAACCTAAAATGTCTGTTCCTTTTTCCATAAGGAACAGAGATGACTCCTTGATCCTCTCCAAAATCTCCATCAGCTTACTTCTGTTGAACACTTGATATAGAGCTCTATTTTCTGCAGCAATTAAGTTGCCCAATTTAATGGCTTCCTTGTGACTCTCAATATCCTCATTACTCTGTAAAATCTTTAGTAATAAAATCACAATTTCTGGCACACAAAGTCGTCTAAGGGTGTCCAACTGTTTTAATCTTTCTGTTTTCTCTTCCTGGTTGAAATTGTCTGATGATGTACTATCACTCTCATCTTGCAACCAACCTCCTGGAAACAGTAAAACATTGTATAGTAAGCTTTTAGTATGTCTTGATTGATGTGAAACTGCATTAATCCATATTGCTTTCTTCTTTTCAACTTGTGCACATTGCTGTTCATGATATACTTTATCAGAAAATGTTGCGTCTGGTGGTAATGGCTGCACATCTTTAGGTTGTCCACTTATAAAATGTCTATACCAAGTTGCGAATCCCTCGAGAGCATCCAAGTATGCTTTTAAACACAAATGTTCTCTTAGTTCAGAGGTACTTGAATCAACTGTGTTTATAAAGTTAGAAAACATTTTGTTGAAGCTAGTCAGACATGCATTGGCAGCATCAGTGTTTCCAATGAATATAAATGTTCTGATCATTGCATTATTCAACCATAGTGCTTCTTCAAGCTGATTGTCAACTAAAGCCAACCATTCTAAAGAAGAAATAACTTTGGATATCAATGTTTTATCCTTTTCTATAACACTTGTCTGTGTGAAGTTCAATTCTACATTTCCATATCCTTGTTGTATATCTGCAATAGCTTTCTTAATAGCCATGCGAGCTGATGCACCAACATCGATTCCAGCATCCAACCCAGCTTTTACAACACCTTGCCTATAATCACTTTTGTGAATTTGGTCCATAAAGTTTGCATACAGAATGATTTGTTTTTCGGCTGGAACTGTAGAAGTGTAATATGCTATAAGCTCTGGGGACTCCACAGATCCATCAACCAATCTATTGGTAAGTAATGTCACATACTTTTCCAAGACTTGGTCACCAACGTCATGCTGAGGATCTTTACCCATTTGTCTCAATACTAATATGAGATGTGCTAAAAATCGAATAAACCTCTCATTAGCATTTTCTAGCCATTCTAATGAATTTAACATTATTGTTCTTACTTGACCAAGCATTAAATAACGCTGACACAACTGATAGTTCGATTCACGTTTTCCATCCATCAGAGATTTTACTGCACTAAATACTTGCTGTAAAGATATTTCATCTGTTTGAAATTCAGCTTGTAATAGTTCCAGCACGTCTGAAGGTGTAGTGTTAGCATCAACAGTTAAATGATGTTCATGGAGAAACTTGTCAACTCTAACTTCTATTTGTATTTTCAAATGAGCCCATAGAATGTCTTCCCAGCTACCTTGACAAGCTAGAAGTGCACTAGGCAGGTGGCCACTCAAAATACCAATTGTCGCTCTGTAGTAGATATTTTCAGATGCACAATTAGCAATTCCTAGGGCACACCATTTCCAAAGGTCTCTTGAAGGATTCCCTTGAATTTCTAATGGATCAGTTGGATCATCTTTGGGCAAATAATGTAATAATTTCCAACCTTGTAGTACTGCTCCTCGCCATGCTTGACCAGCACTTATGCATAATGAGACTGCTTCTTGAAATTTACCACAACGGACTTCAGTAAATATGCGTTTACATAAATCGCTGTCATCTTTCATATCATCAGAGTGTATAGATTTATTTTGTCTTCTTGGTGCATCTGGATCCATACATGTGACTAGAGACTTGTTTTTTTCTTTGTTGAATAGACTATTTCCAATCAGCAGTTCATGTAAAGTGTTGCCCCAGTGTATGTTATTTCCGATGACAGGTGCTGAAGTTTTTGTCGCTTCCTCTTGATAAGCAGCAGTTGCTTCCAACCAGTCTACCAGAAGCTGCAACAGTCTCAGTTCAGAATCACTTCTAAATAGAGCATTCACTAAGCTCTGCTGTGATAGTGTTGCTTCAGTAACTAAATTTTCCAAAGACTCTGGATGTTCTGAGATTGAATCTGCGTACAGGCAATGTATTAGTTTCCATGTGTTGGCTTCCTCTGCCAACCAGTAGTTGTGGACGTTATATCTGTTCCATGGCTCGATTAACTCTAACGAATCACAACATACCTGAGCTAACCTTGCTAATGTATCTAAAACACTGCTAGGTCTACTGCTTTGTATTATCTCGAAGAATTCTTCGCTCAAATGATCTCCCGTGCTACTGGGATTCACCAATATGGAAGATTCATCAAGTACATGCCGTAAACTCGAATCATTTAAGTTTTTAAAAATAGAAGTATCGTTCAAAATAGGCGAAACATTTAACGTCTCTTCTCTCTGTAGTAAATGTCGGCTTCTCTTATTTCTTAAAGGAGTATACTGCGTTGAATGTAGTTGCAAAGTATTATCCATTTTTAAAGCAAAATAGCTTTAATTCTAGTCAATACAGGCTGAAAACTGATGATAGATGATACACTTTAAAATATATTAAGTGTATAATCTATGCACTTTAAATTAGCGTTAGTAGCCTGAAACATATATTATGTGTATAATCTCTCAAATATATTAAGTGTATAATCTATGGTATAATCTATGGCCTGAAAATTTAGAAATTAAAAACCCACTCTTTTTTAACAAATTTTACTGGCTTGCAAACAAAGTCCTTTAAGCCAAGGTATCTACTCCGTTTGTATAAGTCACAGAGTTAAATGACAATCGTGTTCCTAGTTAATTGCTATTAACAGAAATTTCCAGCAATAGGAATTCATCGAATAACTCAAAAACTATGCCAAAGCTACTTGTAAGGTTTATCTTGGGTTTATTATTTATAATGACTAAATTGTTTTTCATATCTATAACTATAATTCATTTACAGTACATTTTTTTCTTTTTTTTTTTTTCGGGCCGAGGCCCGAACCTCCTACGAGGTCCCCGCGCCTAGGGGGCGCGCGGGGTATGTGAGACTCAACGATCTGCAGATGTTAAGAGCAGACCGCGGGCCCAAGGAATTTAGGGCCCACCCACTAAACGACTCCCCTGCACTCTTACACCCGGCGTCCGATCTCCGTCCGGGGTCAAAACCCGGTCAGAGTAGGGGGGTTCCCGCGGTCAACACTACAACCAGACACGCGGCGCCACCCCGAGGACGCCCGACCGACGGGTCGTCGAGGCGATAGTCGACGACCAACGNGGCGCCACCCCGAGGACGCCCGACCGACGGGTCGTCGAGGCGATAGTCGACGACCAACGACGTCAGTCTCCGCGGTACGGCGGCCCTACCAGGCCGCCCGGGCGATGCCGCTGGTGTTCCGGGATACCCCGCTGGGCCAGAACCAGCCTGCCGGGTCGGAACGCGATACACCGCCGACCGGGTTGCTCTTCCACAGTATGTTCAGGGACGACAGCGACGGTGAAAATGCGGACCGCATCGCAATCCGCAGCCGCCGACGCGTCGTCCCGTCCTCCTGGTGCCAGCGCGCTAGAGTGACGGTAGCGTGCGGCGCAGTCTCAACCCCCTTAGGTCGCCCCGTGACCATCACCGGGAGGAGACTGCCTCCTCATAGGGCCCGGAGCTGGACAAACGCCCTCCTCCGACCCCATTTACAGTACATACCTTAGTGTCCGTGATGACAGTCCAATATTGAAAAGTATTATCATTAAAATAAAGGCTTCGTAATGAACGCGAGATTAAACTGAAAAGGTACATAGTGTTAATTATAATATGTATGGAACCAAATCCAGTAGATAATAATTAGTTTTTCTAAAAGAAATGTAAACTCCTCGACCAGGCTTCTCGAATTTATACTCTTTTATACTAATATTATTAAGCTGAAGAGTTTGTTTGTTTGAACGCGCTAATCTCAGAAACTACTGGTCCAATTTGATTTGAAAAATTCTTTCAGTGTTAGATAGCCCATTTATCGAGGAAGGCTATAGGCTATATAACATCATGCTAAGACCAATACAAGCGGAGCACCATTAAAGAATGTTTCAAAATCGGGGTTATTTTTACCTTTTGAGAGCTTCCGCTGCGTACGCTGCAGAAACGGTTAAAGTTTCGCTAAAATAATGTATGACAGAATTGTTCCCCTTTAAAAGATCTAAAAGAAAGTCCGCGAGAGCATACGAGGGCGGCACTGAAAATTTCGGGAATTAACGAAGTGACACAACATTACTATTTAAAAATGTATTTATTGCTTTTCGAAGTATTCTCCGCGAAATTTGACACATTTTTCCAAACGATGGAACCAATCATTGAAGCAACCATTCCAATCGGAAGTTGGGATCTCCAAAAAGGCCGTTTTGTAGGCGTCCACAGCTTCTTCAGGTGATGAAAATCTCTGTCCACGCAATTTATTCTTTATTTTAGGGAAAGTATAGAAATCATTAGGGCTTAGGTCGGGGCTATACGGCGGATGCAGCGATAAATTGTGGTTTTGGATGGGGCTTCATCACCAAATGCAGAAATCATCCGGTCAACACACTGTTTTTGTGTTAAGCCACTTCGAAAGTCATAATAAATCATCGCTTTTGAATTTTCTCGAGTCAATTCCATTTTCTCAACGACTAAACAAGTTTGACAAAACCTCGTGACAAGACTGAGAATCTTTTTTTAAATAAATAAATGGTATTCGATTTTTAAAACCAAGGAGTTTTCAATTAAAAAGATTTTAATATGACAGGAACAGTGGAAATATTCCATTCCCGATACTTTTAGTGCAGCCTAGTATGTCTATATGTTAAGGTTGGCTCACTATAACGTTTTTATGCTAACTTTTTTTTTTTTTTTTTTTTTCCTACCTAAGCTGATAGCCCTAGCGGCTATGTCAGCGTAACCCTAACTTTAGTAGGTGAGCTC